CCCTTTGTCAGTTGGGTAGATTGCAAAAATTTTTTCCCATTCTGTTGGTTGCCATTTAGTTCTAATGATAGTTTCTTTTGCTGTGCAGAAGCTCTTAATTAGATCTTATTTGTCCATTTTGGCTTTTGTTGCCACTGCTTTTGGTGTTTTAGTCATGAAGCCTTTGCCCATGCCTATGTCCTGAATGATATTGCCTGTGTTTTCTTCTAGGGTTTTTATCGTGTTAGGTCTTATGTTTAAATATTTAATCCATCTGAAGTTAATTTTTGTATAAGGTATAAGGAAGGGATCCAGTTTCAGCTTCCTGCATATGGCTAGCCAGTTTTCCTAGCACAATTTATTAAATAGGGGATCCTTTCCCCATTGCTTGTTTTTACCAGGTTTGTCAAAGATCATATGGTTGTAAATGGGTGGCATTATTTCTGAGGCCTCTGTTCCATTGGTCTATATCTCTGTTTTGGTACGAGTACTATGCTGTTTTCATTACTATATCCTTGTAGCATAGTTTGAAGTCAGGTAGCATGATGCCTCCAGCTTTTTTTTATTTTTTTTTTTTTTTTTTTTTTTTTTTTTTGCTTAGGATTGTCTTGGCTATGCAGGCTCTTTTTCGATTCCATATGAAGTTTAAGGTGTTTTTTCCCCAATTCTGTAAAGAAAGTCATTTGTTGCCTGATGGAGATAGCATTGAATCCATAAATTACTTTGGGCAGTATAGCCATTTTCACAATATTGATTCTTCCTAACCATGAACATGGAATGATGGAATGTTTTTCCATCTGTGTCCTCTCTTACTTCCTTGAGCAGTGCTTTGTAGTTTTCCTTGAAGAGGTTCTTCACATCCTTTGTTAATTGTATTCCTAGGTATTTTATTCTCTTTGTAGCAATTGTGAATGGGAGTTCACTCATGATTTGGCTGTTTGTTATTGATGTATAGGAATGCTTGTGATTTTTGCACATTGATTTTGTATCATGAAACTTTGCTGAAGTTGCTTATCAGCTTAAGGAGATTTTGGGCTGAGATGATGGGGTCTTCTAAATATACAATCATGTCATCTGCAAATAGAGAAAATTTTACTTCCTCTTTTCCTAATCGAATACCCTTCCTTTTTCTTGCCTGACTGCCCTGGCCAGAACTTCCAATACTATGTTGAACAGAAGTGGTGAGAGAGGGCATCCTTCTCTTGTGCCAGTTTTAAAGGGAATGCTTCCAGTTTTTCGCATTCAGTATGATATTGGCTGTGAGTTTGTCATAAATAGCTCTTACATGTTCCACTGATACTTATTGAGAGTTTTTAGAATAAAGGGCTGTTGAATTTTGTTGAAGGCCTTCTCTACATCTATTGAGATAATTATGTGGTTTTTGTCTTTGGTTCTGTTTATGTGATGGATTACATTTATAGATTCATACATGTTGAACCAGCCTTGCATCTCAGGAAAGATCTTTTTTAAAGCGCTGCTATTTTGAGAGTAGAACAAAGTCCTAAGTTATTCCTAAATTTATCTCTAAAGTAAAAACAAAATCTCCACAAAAAATAATTTTGAAGTTTTTAATGCACAAAAAGAACATCCCAGAAACAACAGGTATTGACTTACTAACAATGAAGTACTATATAGGAGCCCCCTCCCCACTTAGTATGGGAAAATAGTGTAAATAGACATGAAAGGAGGTGATCACTTCAGGATTAAATGCAAACTCTAAAGTTGTATGCAACATTCATATATGGCTTATTATAGCAATATTAATGATGTATACGACATTTATCATTATTGGTAAGATGCTTTTGAATCCAAAGTTAAACAAAAATGCTGCAGAGGTAGTTTTGCCAAAGCAAGGTTAAAAAAAAAAGGTTTTACCTTGCTTTGTTTCCTCAGAAATCCGCAACCATTATTTTTCTCTAATTTTCTCCTGGATCAGCCAGGAAATAATGATGCTTTTTGAAAAAGCCAATTCCCAACCTTCTAAAAACCGGTTCCTCCAAGTGGACAATGATGTGTTGAAACAGCTGCTCTAAAGTCACCGAGGAAGTCTCCATAGTGTTCCTCTCCATCACAGATCTGAAACATTCTGGCTCAATAGAGACCTGTTACAATCTGACCAGCAGTCATAGAAATTCATCTTTTCTCCTAAAATTCTATGCACAGTCTCATGGTAGTAAGTTCTTCAGTGACCCAAGAACATTGATAGATGCCCTGTCATTGAAAGTCAGGGATTGCTTTAAATTTGAAAAAAAAAAAAAAAAATTAAAGTCAGTCAAATAATGTTTGGAAAATTCTGTAGCTGGCCTGTAAAACTCCATAACAAGAACTACAAGTGACTACATGGAGTCCCTCATGTTTTCAGTTGTGTTTCATCAAAGTCATCACATCTTAGACTCAAAAGGGAGTTTGGGCTTCTGATTGCCAGATGCCACCTGCTGCTTCATCTACGTGTGTGACATGTGGAATGGGGAAGGTCTATCCAATATACAAATTCTTTGACGCTAGTCATTTGATCTATAAACAAAAACTAGTTTATCCTACCCTTACAATGAGAAATACACCCACAATGAGGGGGAAAAAAAGTTTCAAGAGGCAACAAAACATTTGTCAATTCCCCAAATTAGAAAAGTAATTACCAGGCAATGGGTTAGGAACCACTAGAAACAAAGTGACATCATATTAATCAGGTATGACTTGTTACACACAAGAAAGCATAAATATACAGTAAATAAGAGCTTGTTATGTAGCCCCTGCAGAATATATACATGTTAGGGCTGCTGTGAAACTAAGCAGGAATTTCCAGAGCGTATCCTCAGCTAAAAGCAGTTTCATTGCACAACAGTATGACGTTAACAGATGCTGAGAATACCACATGGTAACACTAAGCAGATATCCACATAAACGTATCCTTGAAAATGCACAACGTGAGAAATAAAGGTCACAAGTGAATAGCGCATTGCCTGCCAAGCATCTTCTTTCACATAAATAGGCACAAGTCTGTCCTCCAGTGGTGGCCTGAAGCTTCACACCTCTTGCCTGTCCGTGGCGCCAGGGACGGATTCTCAGCACACACTGAGCCAAGTCATGGGCTATGCACTTCCTCCTGCCTTCGCAGTCTCCAGATTCAAATCAAAGCATAAATAACACAGGGGCCACGCTGGTGGTGCTTCCTTTCACCATGTTACTGAGAACAGATACTGGGCAGAGCAGCACAAAGGCTGCACACCAGAGTGCAGGAGTGGAGAGTAGCTTTGTGCACTTTTGCAAAAACAAAAACCCAAAAAAATCTAGTAGGTGTGTCTCTTGTTTTATTGGTTAGCTCTGTCTGTAGCTAGGAAGACGCTGTGTTGCTCCTGGGCTCTTTCTATCAGCTTCTTTTTCTTCTTCTTGTTCCTCTTCTCCTTCACCTTTGGTGTTCTCCTCCCTACAACGGAGGAAAGAGAAATGAAGAGATGTCAGAAATGGCTCTTTCTCTAGGAAAGAAAACACAAACACATTGGGAGTGCTGCACAAAGCCCATCTGGAAAACATCACCTATGGAAAAAGCAGCCTCAAAGAGAAAATTGTTCACATTAATTTTGACAGAATAATAATAATTTACTAAATTGGATATGCTGTCTAAAACAGAGACTGATCTTCCTGTTACAGGGAACTGGCATATTGAAACACCTCCCAGCAGCCTGATCCGTCTTTCAAATATCATCCTGCCACAAAAATTCCATTTATTCCCTCCTAGCTTTAACAATGCTACCCTTTACTACACATATTTACATCTTTCTACTGCTCCACATGTCAGTGGGTCAAAAGAAAATAAGCATCTATCTATAGCAAACATACCAGAAGTTTCAAACTCCTCTCTCCCTTCCCCATGGGGAAAAAGGAGTCTTGCTTTTAACATTATTTCCACAGTGTTCCAAATACCAATGTATAAAATGATAGATGTACAATCCTTTATTCTATAAAAATTCATGAGGACATCATTCATTATGTACCTTATGGCTTCTTATCCAAATCCCCTGAACAAGTTGTTGTTATTAATGGAGAGCAAGAAGAAAGCTTATTTTTTTCCAATGAACTGGTGATATGTGTCTACCGGACAATCATACCAAGTTATCCTATTTCTCTTCTTTGCCTTAGCTGAGGATTTCCTCCATCAGGAATTTTTTGGATGCTGTGTTTTTCTTTGCCTCTGCTAAATTTTACTTCCTCCATCTGTGGTTATAGTTTTATAGTTTTACTTTATAAGATCTCAACATTTCTAAGTATGTATACATAAGATTTTGAGAGAAAAGAATAAAAGAACATGAGACATCTGTCCTAGGTCTACCACCCTCTTTGAGTTCTAAACACGCAGAAATCATAGGATTTTTTTTAGAGCAGAAAAGGATTTGAAAGGTCTCCTGCCTTTTGCAGAAAGTAAGTCACCCCTACACACCTTCAGTACAGGGAGACTTCTGTCTCAATGAACAAGACAGAAGCCTGTTGGTTGTTCTTCTCTCTTACTTGCCCTACTTCCAATTTTATTTCATACTTCTACAAACTTTTCTTTCCCTGTATGGTGTAGCTACTTGGCACCACAGTAATCAGTACTACGAATAGGGAATAGGACATTCAGTTTTGTGCTCTTCATTCTTCCCATACCTGTAACATTACATATCCCAGACCCTTTCATTCCAGGCATATAGCTGGCCAATTTTTCAATCTAGGCAATGGAGAAGGAGGCTGATGTCAAAAATGAAAAGGAAACAGACCAGAGTCTATGGAGATACATGCATTAGGAAACCAGAGTCATACGAGGTTAAGGCAGGCCATAAGATTTCTAAATAAGGTTGACGTTTCTTATTTCTGTTCTTTCTGATCAGAAAGGATCTGTTGTAAGGATGGAAAACAGGCTTAACTCTTCAAGACCTTAGTACAGTGACTGGCACTTAGTCAATGGTCAATAAACATTTGCTGAACAAAACTTTTTATCACAAGAAAAAAAAGATTTAGAAGAATAACTTATGTTTAATAGGACACTGCATTAAAAGAATGAGAACATGTTCATGTCCCCATATTAAATTATAAAGGTCCTTAAAGCTAACTTTTGCTTCTCATTAAATTCTGGCATTAATGTTATAATGGCATTTTGCCATCTTGAAACGTAGTTAATCCTACCCAATGAAACCTTAGTTTAAGCCACCATTAATCAAAGCAACGTAAAGTTACAACTATTTAGTAACACTATCTCTAATGATGAGACACACAGAAGGAGGGTAGAAAATGAAATACTTAATATAAAATAGCATATTTTAAAAGCTTCAATTATAAAGTGTTATGAAGAAGTTTCTTAGTTCTGTATGTTCTCTAAATAAATCCTTAGTTTAAAAAATCATTGCTGACTACATTTTAAATTCATTTGGTTTAAGCTTAATTGATATAAAGCCTGGGATTTATTTTAAAAGCAAATCGAAATTAAGTGAATGGAAAAATAAAGCTTACATCACTAGATATTTAAAATGTGTTCTGCCAGAATAAAAATATACTGAATATATGTTATTTAAAGAAAGCTTTTCACATTCACAATTTCAGTCCTTCACGTAAATTATGTAGTTAAAAGTTAAATATGTACTATTTCCACGAACAGCAAATCCATGCAAAATAACAGGAAAAGCTCATTTTAAGATGGCCAGTTTTATGTCATTTACCCTATATATTATTCTGAAGTAACTGTCAATATTAAATGGTTTTGGGTTTGCTGGCTAATACGATATTGTGTAATAGGGAAGTTACTCAATACTTGCATAAAGCAGTTGGTATCCTGGCCAAAAATTCAGCAATGCTTTTGAAAGCTTATTTATGTAAAATGATTTTTTCTTGTACAATTATTCTGTTGGCAATAAGCTAGGTGGTAACAATTCCAACGAGCAATGTTTGGGGGGCCCTAATTACAGCCCTAAAGATTTTCCTCAGAAGTCTCTCTTGAATGACACCTCTGTGCTATTGTTTGGTTGGTTGGTTTTGTTTTTGGCCAGTCCCATTTCTCACATAAGATATATTGAAAATACAGAGGAATTAAGATGGTTAGCCAGGATTTGACCACAGACAGGGCTAAATTAACTGAAAATATTTTGTGGTCCATAGTAGGTTGTTCTGACTTGAAGCCCAGCTCAAAGTAATAAAAGAATACTAAAATGCAGCATAACATACAGAAAGGATCTTTCATACATATTCCTTTTTCAGGTTCTAAGATTTTCAAACATGAGTAAAGAAACCAGTGAGATTAAAGCTAAAAGAAAATATGTCCCCATTTTTACCTGTGTATTTGAAAATAAGTTATATTAGACATACAAGCATGCTGATCTGTTTCTGCTTAATTTCTTTACCTCTGTGGATAAGGATTAGACTTGGAGAATGACTTCTAGACTTCAACTGCTGCACACACCCAAGCACATGCATGCTGTACAGGGAGTATTTAAAGGCACATATGATGCCAGTCATGCAAGGCATAATTCAAGTCATGAATTTAACTTTCATTTTAGTTCACAAGAGAAGACTTGGAATAGATACTGCCCAGGATCAAAAAATAAAAATAAAAAGGTTTGAGCTTTAGGAAATTGTCAACATCCAACATATCCAACTCTAACGACAAAGTCTGCGTATCTTTATCCCTACTGCCTTGAGAATGCAGTGGCTTTGACACATCATACCTAAGGGGATCTCTTTAAAATCAGGGCAGTTCTTTTCAGAACTGTTACGAAAATGCAAGAAGATGACTGGTCCCAGTTATTACCGTTTTTAAGTAAGGCAATGCAATGTGGTTTAGAGAAAGGCTACTTCTGGGAAGAAGAAAACCTGGTAGCTAGGCACAGTCTTGTAACTGAGATGTCTGTCTGGCAAGGCATGCGCATGACTCTTAGTCTCTATGTTTGTAGAATGAAAACACTATAGTTATCATTCACTAGAAAGTTATGAGACACTATGTGAAAAAGTTATGTCTCTAGGATGAAAGGAAGATGTGTAAAATATCACTGGCAAGGCAAGGTTATCCTCAAAATGAACAAAATTAGAAAGATACTATCAAAGCCACATTCTAACTGATGTAATGACATTGACTTGCTCACATGTGGAAATGGTGCAAGAGCATAACCTATCAACTCTTCTGCAGAGAAAGATGAACAATTCCTTACAGAAATACTGCTACCACCCAGCTGTGAATTGCTGCTATTAGAATCAGAAATAGGATACATTATTTTAAATCAATATATAGGCTAGTCACAAATTACATGAAGCTGTGCAAATGCCAACTCCACTGCCAGGCAGACACTGATTTCATTCTTCCATAAACTGTCAAAGTCAAGGGAAGTCTTCAAATGCTTTCTCCTCTCACTAGGTTTAGGTAAGAATCTTTCCATCACTGGAACAATGTTTCTTGTACATCCCTGAGAGTAAGGCACAGAGGCTATCTAGAGATTCCATAATGCTAAGTGCTTTAAGAAAGACTTTGAGTGTAAATATATTGGAAGAAAACTAAAGGAAAACTTTGTACCTTTGAATATAAAAGAGATAAAAGCTTCTCTCTAAATATAGGTGTATACATAATACATTCACACATATAGGTACATATATAAGCACACAAGCCAGGGAAGGTAAGGCACATTTATGACAAATGTAATTAACTGAAATTACTGTTGTAGCCACAACTGGGACAAAAAAGTTTGTGATGCTCTGACTTGAAACCTGAGCTTCACTGCATTATGAAATTCATCATGGAGACTTGGAAATCACCTCAAAGAGATTTAGTCATTCTTCAAAGCCACTATAACTTAGGGACAAGAAACCTGTGTAACCAGCAACCTGGCAGATACTGTCATATTTCAGAGAACACTCTGGAGGCAAAACATGAAATGTTTTACCTTCACATCTAGAGTCACAAGGACTGAGTTGTAAACGATGAATAGCATTGGACCATTTATTTTTTCCATTGGGCAACTTGATTTTGCCCAAGAATGAGTAGCAAAAGAGATTTATTTAAGATTAGCAACTGTCTAGAAAAACAACTGGTTTCTAAAATATTTTTTCAAGTTCATATGAAAATAGACAAAAGACTTAAACACAATTCATAAAAAAATAAAAATAGCTAATATATTTAAATAATCAAATCTCACAATTGAAACTTCCAAATAAGATGAGATGCCACTACAAAGATCCTTAAAAGTAAAAATACCTAACACTTATAAGAATATCTGGAGACAGGCAACAGGAGGCATTGAGAATATAAAAATGATACAGCTTTTGTGAAATGCCATCTGGCAATGTATACAAACGTATTAAAAAATATTTATAACTTTTGACTCAGATCTAGGACTCTATCCTCAGAACATAATCTAAACTTGGACAAAGATTTATGCACAGGGATCTTTAATACTGAAAAAATTGTAACATACTTAAATGTCCTGACTACACTTTTTCATGACCTCTTTTTATGATTACTGAGGGAATAAAGTGTGTTTGCAACTATGAATTTAAGTATTTTATATTTTAAGTAATAGCAATTAACTTTATATCCAGGAATACTACTGTTACATATCACTAAAACTTATCATAAATGGATATAAGAAAAAGCCCGTAGTACAAAAGCATTTGTACTGTGATGGAAATGATAGTAAGCAGATTCTTATGTGGAGTGATCACTTGTAATTAGATCTGAGATATAAAAGCTTAAAAATTATTGGCCTAACCACTTCAGACATTAAGAATGGAGGTTACTTCTTGAAGCTTTTTTCCATCTAGAAAGCAGTCCAAGTAGGCAAATATGAAGAGCAAGACTGGGATCTACCACACTATGTCCTATGTAGCCTAAGATAAAAATGCCCCCACTGTCCATAATAGTTCAGAATAACACATTTAATTGACAAATGAAAATTGTATAGTATATAATGTGATATTGTGATGTCTGTATATAATGTGAAATGATTAATAGAGCTGATTTTTAAATAATTTACGTTTTACTTACATAATATAAAATGGGCATATTTTAATTTGACTTATTTTAATTATTATTTTACTTATTTATGTAATATAAAACGTAAATAAAATAACGGTTACTTATTTACATCAGCTCTGGAGTCAGAAGTGAGAGTAAGGTGGAAAGAGTAAAGGAAATGAATCAACTGTGGCTCTTTACTGACAGCACAAAGCTCCTTAAGAGGCATTTTCAGTGACAACCATTTGGTTCTCTAGAAATACACCTCTTCTTTTCATTAAAAAGATTTCACAGATAGCTGTGTTTTGAAAGGGCTGGCAATATCTAATCCTTCGATAATGGTTTGCTATTTTCTTTAAGAAAAATAGAGACAAAGCAATAAATGTTAAAGTATTAAAAATAATAACAAGCCACCTACTAAGGAGAGTTTACTGGGCATCTTGAATGTCAAGTAATAACTTAGAACATTTTCCAAAGAGTCACTTAGTCATTTAATCTTCATAAAAGAGCATGTGCTTTAAAAATCTACATACTATCTAGAGATAACTTATAAAAGTTGTTCTTCTTACAAGACTATTGGTAGGGTGACAACTGTCCAAAATAAATGACTTATCTAAACATACAAATGTGACAATCATTCAGAATATCAGGATTCAGAATACTTACTACCTGCATAGGTTTACACTAATTTGTAAAACTAATTCAATAAGCCAATTTAAATGGGAAGCCTAACTGTTACTATTATTTCATCTGTGAAAATGTACCATATTTTTGGCCTAAACAGAATAGTATGAAATGGCTTCTTTTGTCTTTAAGACTTGAATTCTTCTTAAAGAAGACATTTTATTAGGAGTCAGATCTGTTACTCATTTTGTTGACAGGAAGTCCCATTTGGTTCTGAAATTTTATTTCATGTTCAAAATGATGGAAATTGAAGAAAAGGTAACCTTGAAGATCACCTGAACCTTTATTAATGAGCTATATTACCACTAACGTTTCCTGCACATGGTATTTCAAAAATTCCTCATTTTACAGCTCTGAAGAAAATCACTGTTCAAGTATATGACATGACTTTTAAAGGGGCAGTAAGAATATTCCAAAATCTCTTTCAGCTCTCTTGAAGCAAAATGACTATAAGAAGGTAATCTGAATAAGATTTGAGCTTGTTTCTTATAATGTTGCTCACTCTAGTTGATTTAACGTAAACTCTCAAATCTCTAGTTCCTCAAAGAGAAACATAAAACAGTTCGAAGACAGGATTCTATGGTGTTTCACATAGGTGAGCACAAATGAGATCATTTTAAAATTATCTGAAATTATTTTCATAAATACTTTAGGTTAATTGTAAAGGACAAAGTTTTCCGAGTAGTAGAAACTATAAAACAAGACTTTACTATTTGTGTGAAAAACTAAATGCACTATTTTACCACAAGGGGGCAACAATTCACTTTTACTGTAAGAGTACTGGTGAAGAGATGGGGTTTTTTTGTTTTGTTTTGTTTTAATGTACAGGGCAACTTTGGGGCTCTAATTTCTTAAATACCTTTTTGAACATCTATTGGAGGCTTTATCTTTCTTTCTAACCATAGGTAATCGCTTTAGTGGAACAAAGATTAAGTAACAAGACCAAAGAGCTGCACAAGGAAAAAATTTAATTGCACCACTATTAAAAAGATATTTGCACTAATGAGAGAAGAAAATTAAGATGTTAAGTCCGCTATTCAAATAGTGATTTAGGGGAAAAGCATTTATTCACAAATTCTGGTTGTCTCTTTCCTTCTTTAGTTTATTTATTTATTGATTGATTGATTGATACGGAGTCTTGCTCTGTCACTAGGCTGGAGTGTAGTGATGCGATCTTGGATCCTACCTAAGCCTCCCGAATAACTGGGACTACAAGTGTGCACCACCATGCCCAGCTAATTTTTTTTGTGTGTATTTTTAGTAGAGACAGAGTTTTACCATGTTGGCCAGGATGATCTCAATCTCTTGACATTGTGATCTACCTACCTCAGCCTCCCAGAGTGCTGGGATTTCAGGTGTAAGCCACCGTGCCCTGCCAGTTTTCACTTTCTTAATGGAAAGTTAAGCTACCTGCAAATAACAGGTTCTTATCTTGGATTCCTTATTTATAAGAACAGAGGTTGTAAAACTGCAAATGATCTTGACTATCTTCCGATGCAGAAAGTCACAAAGATTTGACAGTATCACATAGATTTGACATCAAGGATGAAAGCTGATTGTTTGGTGGTGATTCCTGACAAGTTGACCTACCAGCACCACAATGAGCTGGATGCACTGGTGAGGGTGGAAAGACAGCAAATATACTAGGCATTTGCTATGCCCTGCTGTAGTCCACTCTGCAAGGTGGTTTAGATATGAAGCATCTGAAGCACAGAAGATCTAGAGTGACCTACCCATGCTCCTACAGCTAATTAGAAGGAAAAGCCTGTGTTCCAAGCCTAGTTATGCTACTCTCTTATATACTTTCCCAACTCTAAAGGTCACTGGATAAGAATAGAGAGTCATTTTTCAAGTTATAGAGTCATTCTGCAAGGAAGACAGAGAAGCACTGAAGACAATATTACCCTGACAGTTACACAAAAAAAGTCGTTGACCTCATCCTAACTATGAAACTCTGTATGAACTGATAAATTCTGCATAAATAACAACTTATATGTGACTTACATTTTCTATAAATTTATACTGCATTGATTCATTGCTTATTCCTTTTCTTACATTTTAGCAAGATGCATTCTACCAAGTTTCCTAAAGTAAGGTGAGATGATGAACCTTCCTACTTTGTACCAGGCCCTGTAAGTGCTTTTTTTGCATTTTCATTTAATTGAATGCTGTGGGGGGAATCAGTAAGGACTCAAACTGTGATGCCAGAATGTTATACAGCTGCCTGCCTTAAATTTACTCGAAATAAATGCAGATAAATATCAGGCTCATTTGGCACTCCTAAAATAAGAAAAAACATCAGGTTTGCAGAGAAAATGATTCAACTGTTTTCATTTGATTAGGAGGTATGGGATAACCAGAAAAGAATTAAGTTCCTCCATGGCTGACTTCATACTATAAGGGAAGGTACCTTTTAAGATAATTCCATTAGAACAAGAAAATGTAATACCTTCCTCTTGGTCTTAAATCAATAACCATTAGCTAAATGAAAAACAAAAAGTAGTAGCCCAAGAAATGACATGTAGAACTGTCATCATATGGCAAGCATTTGTTTAATTTGAATTCAGCACAATTTCTATGGAACTTGAAAACACACAAGTGAAAAGAAAATAGTGGTTTATACATGGCGGCTATATAAGATAATGAGACTGCGTATGGTGCACACCTCTAGTCCTAGCTACGCAGGACCCTAAGGCAGGATGATTGCTTGAGCCCAGGATTTTGAGGCTGCAGTGAGCTGTGATCATGCCACTGTACTCCAGCCTGGGTGACAAAGCAATACCCTTTCTCTTAAAGAAAAGGGCATAGGTTATTGGTCCAAGCCAACACTCAGCTAAGTGGCAGGTTTTACATGAACACAGTCAACACAGGATAACATGAGGGAATGTATGCTCCACCAAGGATCATAAATACATTCCCTGCCCTGTAGCACTTCGAACTGCCCTCATTCTCATATTTACCACCTTCGATTGCAATTTTGTTTGGCTGTATATCATGGCTACTAGTTTGTAAATATTTAAAAATAGGTTGGGTGCAGTGGCTCATGCCTATAATCCCAGCACTTTGCAAGGCCAAGGTGGGAGGATCACTTGAGGCCAGGAGTTCAAGACCAGCCTGGACAACATAAGGAGATCCCATCTTTATTTTTTAATTATTTTAATTAAAAAATAGCTACAATTTAATGTACCATAGCATCCTCATTAGACTTTCCATCAAACTACAGATATTTGACTCATGTCAACTCAGAGTTGGAGCAAAGCTATAAGAGTTACATCTAAACACTGAAAGTGGTCAGGAACCAAAGCCACAGGGTCTTTGACATCTACTATAAAATGAACTCTCCTTTCCTTCCCAGGGTCCCCTCATGGCTTCTGGCCTCAACTTCAGCTTTGTACATGGTCTATGTAGGCTACACTCTATCCCTGATACACCCTGTGACTTTTCGGCTTACCTCCCTGTTATAATAGCCTGAGTCCTCTTTTGTCCCAATGGCATATTCCCAAGAGAGGAATTCAACATGCTTTAGTTGCCACAGAGCCATGGATGCCTGAACAGCTCTTGGATGAATCACTCCCAGGCCTAACCTGGAGAAGTAGCAGGATATAACATGATACTAGCCTTGGCAGGCATCTAGAATACAAGGTTAAGAACATGAGTTTGGGGAGTCAGCCCCAGATTCAAAGCAGAGTTATGCCACTGAGAAACTAGAGATCTTAGACTAGACACTTTTTCTAAACCTTAGTTCCCTCATTTATAAACTGGTAGTAGCAATGGTGCCCGCTTCAGCATTTCTATAAAGAATGAAGGAGAATATGTATAAAATTTCACATATTATACCTGGCACACAAATGCTAAATAAACTATAGTACTATGTAAGGTGCCTTGTGTTATTTCTCATCCTTATGGCAACTTGCAAAGCAAGCATTATTTCCATTTTGCCGATGAGGAAATAGGCTTCGGATAGTTAAGTAAATAGCACAAAATCACATAGCTCAGCAGTGATTCAAACCAACATCTGGCAGAATCTAAAACCTGTACTCTTTCCACTATAGTCTTTGGATCCCTTGTGCCCAGCAAAATGCATTTGATCTGTAATCATTTAAATGACTGCTGAACAAACAAATTAATAAGTAAATAGTAGACTGGAGAAGGGCATCAGCCTCCCTGCTCAATCCCACACAATATCAGGGTTCCCTTGGGTCCCATTAGATCCCTGATGGGCCTGGCCTACAACCCATGTTTCTCAAATCAGTTATTCCCTGGGGTTAAGACATTCAAAGCCTCAGTTTCCCAGGGTCAAGCAACACATTTAGCAGCTCCAACTCAGTATCAACAGTGTGCCTGTGGCAAAACTCAAAACCACAGGATGCTTATTTTTTAGCTCAGAGTCAGAAAAAGTTTAGACCTGTGGTTCTAAAAGTCAGTTCACAGGCCAGAGGTAAAATAATCTTCCAGGGAACTTTAAAAAAAAAAAAAAAAAAAAAAAAA